AATGTGGAGAAGGTGAGCTGCCGCTGCGTCCACCACACTCCTTGTAGGCCTGGTGGGCAGTCAGTCAGGGTGAACCTCAGGGAATGCTGGCAGCAGGCTGGCCAGGCCTGGGCAGACCCATCTCGGGGCGTGTGTGCCTCCCCACCGTGGGTGTTGGCTTGCATTGTTGGATGTTGAAGGCAGCCAAGCTCAGACTAGGGTTGGATCTCGCAGGAGTACCAGTCAGCGTAAGAACAGCAGACTGGAGGGTCTGGCTAAGACAGGCCTTAGTTACTGTGTAGGTTCATAGAACTTCCCAGTAGGGCTCAGAGCCCTGCTGCAGTATTTGTAGTGCAGCAATGTACTAAAGCAAGCATTTTACACAGACCCATGGATGCCTATCGGCCCACGCAGGAGTGAGAACAGCTGACTGCTGGTTCTGCCTGGTTTGTGCCTCATCAGATGCCCTACTCAAGAGCCTGTGCCTTGTAGTAACTAGCACAGTGTCTCCTAGACCCTGTTGCTACTTACTTAGGCTGGGCTCTTGGTTGGGGGCCCAGCAGGTTTCTGGGGGTTTCTGTCTGACATTTCACCAGTGAGGAGATGAAGTGTGGAGCTGGGCAGGAGGGCTCTGGCAGCTGGGCAGGGAAGCTGACTGTACTGCTCTTGGCAAGGTGAAATTCATGAAAAGCAAGCCTGGGGCCGCCATGGTGGAGATGGCTGACGGCTATGCCGTGGACCGTGCCATTACTCACCTCAACAACAACTTCATGTTTGGGCAGAAGATGAATGTCTGGTAGGTGCTTGGGCTAGAGGGGGCATGGCAGTGTGGGGCTCAGTGAGGTGTGCTGGGTGGGTTTCCTAGAGTTTTTCTTCAAAGCCAAGGGAGGGGTGGGATAACCTTGTCTCGGCTGGGAGTGATGCCCCCCCTGGGGCACACTGCTTTCTAGTGGGCACAGACCAGCTCTGGGTCTGACGAAGGGCTCTGTGGGCTCTGCTTTCTTCTTGCAGCGTCTCCAAGCAACCAGCCATCATGCCCCGCCAGTCGTACGGGCTAGAAGATGGGTCCTGCAGTTACAAAGACTTCAGCGAGTCAAGGAACAATCGGTTCTCCACCCCAGAACAGGCAGCCAAGAACCGCATCCAGCACCCCAGCAATGTGCTGCACTTCTTCAACGCGCCTCTGGAGGTGACGGAGGAGAACTTCTTTGAGGTGAGGCCCTGTGATTCTGGGTGCAGCTGTGGAGCTCGGGCTCCACCAGTCCTGGGATTGGTTGCCGGGCACGCAACAGGAATTAGGACAAGTGGGGAGCTATGTGCCCCGCTCCTTCTGTGTCTAGTGAATATGGGCAGCTGTGCCTTTGCTGGGGAAGGTTCCCTGTAGGCTCATGCATGGGTTCCAGGTAACAGCAGCAGGCAGGACCCTGTGAGGTGCTGGCAGGGTCAGAGACTGGGGAGCAGAGGTGGACTCTGCACCTCACCCTGGTCCTGTTGGACCCTTCAGTTTAGCAAACATTGACCTGGTGCCTAGACTCGCCCACAGAGCTGCTGAGGATGAACGTTAGAACAACAAACAGCAGGCTTCTGGGACTTGCTGACGCCGTAATTAAGTGCTTCTAACCATCAGGGGACACTTAGTGTGCAATACAAAGTGCTAATGTGTCTAGGCAGTTTGGAGAGGGCCTGGGCTGCTCCCCTGGGTTTCTAACCCCGCTGCCTGTCTCCTGCAGATCTGTGATGAGCTGGGAGTGAAGCGGCCAACTTCTGTGAAAGTATTCTCAGGCAAAAGTGAGTATTGCCCTGCCTGCCTCTCTATGGCTCTGCCTGTTGGCAGCTTCCAGCCTCTGCTCCTTCAGTCGCCTACACCATAGCCTTTTCCCATGCTTCTGACCAGGTGAGCGCAGCTCCTCTGGGCTGCTGGAGTGGGAATCCAAGAGCGACGCCCTGGAGACTCTGGGCTTCCTGAACCATTACCAGATGAAAAACCCAAGTGAGTGTTGTCAACCCCCACCCCCCAGACTGCCCGCAGTGACCAGCTCAGGCTGGCCCCCTGGGGAGCTGGTGTTCTCTTTGTGCCCAACATTGGCTTAGGTGGTTCCAGGGCTGTACTCCTCAGCAGGTGAAATGGCCCACCGTGCCGGGGCAGGCCTGTTGCTAGGGCCCGCTAAGGAGCTAGCACTAGGTTCTTCGTGGCAGTAGAGGATGAGAAGAAGGCTTTGCTATCTGTCCCATTTTAAGGTCTCTCATAGGGCAGTGACTTGTTAGACTCTTGTTGCTGAACCGTACAATGGTGCAGAATGAGGGGGCCCTGGGGCGGGGGCTCAGCCCAGCTGATCTCTTACTGCATTCCTTTGCAGATGGCCCCTACCCCTACACCCTGAAGTTGTGCTTCTCCACCGCTCAGCATGCCTCCTAATGGGGCGCCCACGAAGAAGCCCGTCTGAGCAGGAAATTGTTTCTTACGCCTGTTTTGGGTTTTTGTTTTTGTTTTTTCCTTTGACAGAAGTCCTTGGTTTTATTATTTTGTTTTGTTTTGTTTTTTAATGCTAGGTTAGTAGAGGCTTAACCATAATGGAAATGCTGGAGGGGGTGGGAGAGGGAACTGATATCTCCCAAGATTAACCTTCACTTTTTAAAATTACTGTACATGTGATTTTTTTTTTTCCTGTTCATACATTTGTGCTGCCCATGTACTCTTGGCACATTTCAATAAAAATTGTTTGGAAAATAAACAGCACTTGCTGGGGTCTCAGGACAGAGCTGCTTTGCTCCCACCCACAAAGTCCTCTTGCAGAGGCGCGGTGGATGGGGCTGCAGCTGCTGGAGGGAAGTGCGGCAGGCTCTGCCCAGGCTGCTGCCTGGCTGGAGGGCCACTTAAAGGTAAACTGCAGGTGGGTGTGCAGCTCAGCCTGCTTGGGTTCTGGCCCCTCCGCTCCCCATGCAGCTTCTGCTGATGGGTACCCTAAAGGCAGCAGGCAGTCACCTGAGTGCTGTGCCCCTGCTTGCTGTGTGGCCAACCCTGGCTGTTGTGCTCGTAGGGGAGTGAACCAATGGCTGGGAGATCTCTTGTCTGTCTTTGAAATAAAATGGAAAAAAAAAAATTCAAATGTAAGTGGTGTTTTAAGAAATCTGAAGCTCCTGGAGAGGTGTCATAATTGGCCTTAATCCTGCAAAGTCAACACTGTGCTTTGATTGGGTTGGGGGAAAAACCCAAGATGCCTTGGAGTTCCTAGAGGCTAGCAGTTAATGCTGCGTTTTCTCCAAAGGCAAATTCCCTGGCATTCTGCCTTCTGACGTTTACTTAGCCCCACCCCGAGGCTTTGTTTGCGGAGTGTGTGTGTGTGTGTGTGTGTGTGTGTGTCTGTCTGTCTGTCTGTCTGGAGCTCCTTGCCTGGAGGCAGGCTGAAAGACAAGGGCATTGTAACAGTACTGCTTGAAGATGGAAACTCATGGGGTGAAGATGCAACTCAGAGCTTGATCGACACAGAGGTGGCCTGTGGAGGAGGCGTCACAGTCTCACCTTGGGTTCACACGCCCTGGGAACTGGCTGAGGAACCCTGGGAATGAAGCCAGGAGCCATGGGTTCGTCTGGAACCATCTCTGGACAAGGAGAAGCTGGCAGTCGCCTTACAGCTAGACATGAGCTAAGCTTTGCTTTAGTGTGGTGGTTTGAAATGGCTGCAGTGAGCAAGTTTGGCTAGTAAGTGTCTATTTTGTGATGAAATTGGGAAATCCTACTACTTAGAAATGTACAATTCACTTTTAAGTTTTATTTTCAATACTGTTTATACAGTTGAGGGATACATGCCCACCTGGACCTCTGGTTAGGGTGGGGAGGATCAGGTATGGAGGAATGTGCGTGGGACTCCCGCATGTTTGTCTCCTGTGTCTGCAGGGGAGGGGGGCAAGAGGGCTGCTGGCACACTGGTATAGTTAACACAAGTTTGACATCAACCAAGTCTAGAGTGCTCACCGATCACTGGCTGCTTTTCTCACAGCAGTGTAACACTTGCCTACATATAGGCAGCCTCAGCAGTTACCTGCAGCTGGGTACACACATTCCCAGTTACCTGTATTCGTTGCTGGGCGGTTGGGAGGCTGCATGCAGGGCTGATACACAAGCAGCACATCCCACACATCTCACCAGCCTGGGCCATCCACGTGTCATGTCGTCCTGAGCCTTTATCCTGTCACATCGCTGAACCTAATTCAGGGGTTCAGAATGTTCCATTACCCTTCCACCATGACAGTCGGCTAGTTCCCATTGTCCGACTTTCCAGTCTGGAAGACTCCTTTCAAGTTCACTGGTCCAGAACCCAGGTCCCGGTCTCGGCGGCTAAAGTCCTCGCCCTGAACGCACAGTCATCCCATATGGGCGCCGGTTCTATCCCGGCAGCTTCACTTCCCATCCAGCTCCCTGCTCGTGGCCTGGGAAAGCAGTCGAGGACAGCCCAAAGCCTTAGGACTCTGCACGCATGTGGGAAACCCAGAAGTTGCGCTCACTTCGGGAGTGAATCATTGGACAGAAGATCTTCCTCTGTGTATCTTCTCTCTGGATATCTGACTTTCTAATAAAAGTAAAATAAATAAAAGAAAACCAGGTCCGGGAGTGAGAAGTGACGAACATCTGCAATCGCCCCCAGCCATGTGGAGCCCTGTGTCGAACTACTTTCTCCCCTAAAATCTGGGTGCAAAAGAGACTGACACCCTGTGGTGGTGTGGGATGTCCTGTACCCCAGTCCCTAGCTGATTTAGTTTTATTACAAGGGCCTGATTACAAACCTGGGAGGCTGCCGGTTAAACTTACATAGGCTGTGGTGAACTTTAGCCGGAAGCCTCACGCAGCCACGTGAGCCGTTTCTCCGGCTCGGTTCCCTGTGGGGCAAAGGGTCTGAATTCCTAAATCTCAGGACCAATCCGCCTGGGGCTTTATTTCTGGTTTCCCTTAGTAAAGATGGCGGAGGAGCACTGCATTGCTGGCCCGGCGCGCCTTCCGTGCCCTCTCTCAACATGGCTTCCGTCTGTACCCGCCCCTTGGCTTCCTCCCGCTGGCTGACTTCTACTACTCATTTCCAATGGCGGCGGTGATGGCGACCGCTCGCGGATTTCGCGGCCTGCTGATGCGACGTGAGTCATTTCTTGGCCTGTGGGGATCTGTCGCGCTATGCAAACGGATCTAGGACGGGGAGACCCTCCCGGGGTCCCTTTCACACAGGCCCAGTCGTGGAATGTGGGAGCGCCGAGGGCTCCATGGGGCCTGTGTCCCCCATCCAAGGCGCTTGCTTGCTCTGTCTCCCCAGGACTGACAGCTCCCTTCAGCCCCAGCCCGCGCCCCTTGGGCACGTCGGCTCAGGAGGGGCAGCCCTCCGCGGCCCCCGGCGAAGCCCCAGACCACAGCTACGAGTCCCTCCGGGTGACTGCCACCCAAAAGCACATCCTGCATGTGCAGCTCAACCGGCCTGACAAGATGAATGCCATGAACAAGGCCTTCTGGAGGTGTGACAAACGGAACCCGGAGGCCTGCCTGCAGAAGGGGGAGCGCGGAGGGCCTGTGCAGTGGGATCCTCACCCCCCACCCCCCAGACACCGGTCTTCTTGCTTGCTAACTTCTGCAGGGAGATGGTGGAGTGCTTCAACAAGATAGCGCGGGACACCGAGTGCCGGGCGGTGGTCATCTCAGGGGCAGGGAAAATCTTCTCAGCAGGTAAGGGGGGCTGCTCACCGCCTCCCCAGCTGCTGGCCAAGCAGGCCGCCTCAGCAGGGGTGTCAGCAGCTGCCAGCTCACACCCCACACCCCGAGGCCTAATGGAAACCACTGAGACAGAAATGGGCTGACAGCCCCGTGGTAGGATGCCTCCTTCCCTGCCTCCCTGCCCCTTGCCCAACAACACACTTAGACATACTCGGAGAGACCATCACTGTGGGTCACACCCTCGGTCCCTAGCATTTTCCATTTTCTGTCCCCAAGCTTCCTTTCCCTTTGTAAGGGCTGATGTCACATCATCCAGGCCATCTTGCAGTCGCTCTGTCTATTCTCTGCCCTTTAGAATCTGGTTCGTATATTCCCTGTTCCTGTGTGTTGAGGCAGTTTGCACTGTCTCTAGGTATTGGTATGTAGCAATAGGGTGTTGTGCAAACTCTGGCTTCTTCCAACACTGGTAAATTTTATGGGAAAGACACAGTTAAAAAGAAAGAGAGGGAGGGAAAGATATTACATTGCTGGTTTACTCCCCAGGTGGCTGCAACAGCCGAAGCTAGCCCAGGCTGACAATAGGAGCTTCTTCCTCCATGGGTGGTAGGAGCCCAAGCATTTGAGCCACCCTCTTCTGCCTTCTCAGATGCATTAGCAGGGAGCTGGATGGGAAGCAGAGCAACCAGGACTTGAAACGGCGCCTGTATGGGATGCTGATGTTGAGGGTGGTGGCTTTACCTGCTATGCCACAGCTCCAATCCCTGGAATTATTTTTTCTTGTGCTGGGCTACATGCATGGTTTGAAAGTCAGTAGGAGATTTGTTCAGGAGTTTGTTTATTTTTTAAGATTTATTTTATTTTTATTGGGAAGTCAGATATATAAAAAGGAGAGACAGAGAGGAAGATCTTCCATCTGCTGATTCACTCCACAAATGGCTGCGCCGATCCAAAGCCAGAAAGCCAGGAGCCAGGAGCCTTCTCCAGGTCTCCCACGTGGGTGCAGGGTCCCAAGGCTTTGAGCCATCCTCCTCTGCTTTCCCAGGGCATAAGCAGGGATCTGGATGGCAAATGGAGCATATAGGACACGAACTAGAGCCCATAGGGGTATCTGGTGCTTGCAAAATGAGGCTACTGCTCTGGGCTCTATCTTTGTTGATTCAAAAGGCAGGCACAGAGCCCTTCCATCTCCTGGGTTCATTCCCAAATGCCCACAGCAGTCAGGCAGGGCTGGACCAGGCCAAAGCCAGGAGACTGCATCTGGGTCTCCTACCTGGTGACAAGGGTCCATGTTCTTGGGCTATCCTCTGCTGCCTCCCAGGCTATCCATTAGGAGGAAGCTGGACTCGGAGCCAGAGCCGGGACTCGAACCCAGGCACTTCCCTAGGGGAAGCAGCTGCCCCAAGCAGGATCATAACCCCTGTGCCAGATGCCCACCCCGCCATGATTGATTCTTGCCTTGAGTGGGATGCCTGGCGCCGTACTCTGGAGCCCTTTCTTGCAAGGGATTTCCTAGCATCAGTGACAACAGGTCCAGGCAGGAGTACGGCAGAGAAACTAGAAAGGCCAGTGAGAGCAGAGGAGATATTGCAAGATGCAGCTTGACCTTGTTCTGGGTTGGCAGAGCTCACTGGATGATTCACAGGTGTGGCAACACCAGGTGCAAGCAGGCAGATACAGGCACAGACTTGGCACACAGCCACAGGGGTTATTGTGATGGCAGCGTGTGCAGTTCATGGCTCCCGCTGCCTCTGTGGCTCCAGCCGTATGTGTGCACGCCTCGTGGTCGGCCTCCTGAAGGGTTCCCCCAGCATTCAACAGAGAAGATTTCACAGGTCTGGGCAGAAAGTGACCTGGCCAAGGTCACCAAGGGAGTCCTGCCATGCATGGCCTGGCCACGATCCCCTGGCCTTTAGTCTTTTAACCATTATTCTTAACTTAAAAACAAACAAACAAACAAAGCTCTGTATTTATTTGAAAGGAAGAGTTAGAAAGAGAGCTTGCATCCTCTGGTTCATGTAATGGCCAAGATCATGGCCACACCAGGCTGAAGCCTATTGTTTGGGTCATTCTCCACTGCTTCCCCAGGCGCAGTAACAGGGAGCTGGATTGGAAGTGGAGCAGCCGGGACTTGAACCACACGAGATGCCAGCATCTCAGGTGCACCAGCACGGAGGCTCTGAGTTGCTAACTTTTAAAACCTTTTACTTGCAGGCCCGGTGTGGTGGCCTAGCAGCTAAAATCCTTGCCTTGAATGTGCCGGGATCCCATATGGGCACTGGTTCTAATGCCTGTAGTCCTGCTTCCCACCCAGCTCCCTGCTTGTGGTCTGGGAAAACAGTTGAGGACGGCCCAAAGCCTTGGGACCCTGCACCCGCATGGGAGACCCAGAAGAAGTTCCTGGCACATGGCTTTCTGGATTGGCACAGTACCGACTATTGTGCTCACTTGGGGAGTGAGTCATTGGATGGAAGATCTTCCTCTCTGTCTCTCCTCCTCTCTGTAATCTGACTTTATGATAAAAATAAAATCTTAAAGTTATTTGAGGGTGCGGCACAATAGCCTAGTGACTAAAGGTCACACTGGTTTGTGTTTGGCTGCCCTGCTTCCCAACTCCCTGCTTGCTTGTGATTTGGGAAAGCAGTCGAGGACTGCCCAAAGCCTTGAGGCCCTGTGCCTGTGTGGGAGACCTTGAAGAAGCTCCTAGCCTCGGATCAACTCATCTCTGGCCATTGAGGCCACTTGAGAAGTGAACCAATGAATGGAAGGTCTTTCTGTCTCTCCTCCTCTCTGTATATCTGACTTTCTAATAAAAATAATAAATAAATCTTTAAAAAATAATTTTATTTGAGAAACAGAGCTCCTCCATCCACTCATCCACACTCCAGTGCCCACATTGGCCAAAGGGGACAAAGGCGGAAATTGGGAGTCAGGATCCAGTCACTCAAGTCCCCACTGATGCCTCTCCATGACCACTTTTGCCAGAAGCTGGTGTTGGACTGGAGCTGCAGCTGTCCCATGTGTTTCATGGGGATAGCAGCCAGTAGCTTTAATCACTTGACCAGATGACCAGCCCTGGCCTCACTTAAATGGAGAAGCCCCTGAGTACTGTGGCTTTGGCCAGCATGTGCCTTTTTCAGTCTGTTATTTGGCATTGTTCAGAGGACAGAGAGCAGGTGGGCATGACTTTCTAGAAGGATGAGGACAACAGTGGGATGGGCTTGGAACCTCCCATGCCTCCTGCTACTACAGGTCATCCTCCTTGTGGTCTGCAGGCGCCCCAGGCTCGGCCTCCATCCCTGCTCTGACCTTGGCCTTACCCTGAACCAGACAAACCAACATCCCCTCTCTGTCCCCCTCCAGGGTGATAGTCATGCAAGCCAGACCTTCGCACTGGCAGTGCTGGCATCCCAGAGAGCCCGCCCTCACTAAGCACTATCCCCTCCCTCCACTACAAAATGTAGCTTCTTGTTTAAAGAAGTTACTTTTTCTTGAGAGGCAGAAAAAGATCAGGATTCTTTCTACTGCTTCAAATGCCAGCCACAGCCAGGAGCCCAGAACTTCATCTGGGTCCCTCACATGGGTGGCAGGGCCCTCCCCACCCACCACTCCTGTAAAGAACTACACTCCTGTGAAGCTGTGTGCAGGTTGCCCCTTGGTTGTGTGTGAGAGACACACTAGCAGGGGTGGGAGGGGTCAAAGCATGGCTGGGGTCAGAAAAGTCAGGTTGAGGATTGTGTTGAAGGTGGGGCCACAGACACTGCATCAGCCACTCAATTACTCAGGCCCTTGATCCAAGGTTAACAGAGTGAGGAGAGCAGCACAGCCCCCGGGGGTCAGCCACCGCATGACCCTTGGGTCTGAAGCCCCAGTCGTGCGGCTCACAAGGTAGCATGACCTTGAGCTCAAGGTGCCCACCCTTGCTGTGCCTCCCGTAACCCTTCAGACAGGGGTCAGTGTTGTGGTGCAGTGCTTAAACTACCTACCACCTGTAACACTGGCATCCCACGTGAGCGCTGGTTCAAGTCCCAGCTGCTTCCTGCCTCATCCCTTCGCCAGCTCCCTGCTAATACTCTTGGAAACCAACGGAACTTGGCCCAAGTGCTTGGGTCCCTGCCACCCACGTGGGAGAGCCGGGTAAAATCACAGGTTCTTGGCTTTGCTTGGTTCGACTCTGGCTGTCACAGCCATTTGGGGAGTGATGGATGATCTTTGTTTCTCCCTTTCTCTCACTGTCTTCTAAGATCTTTTTTTTTTTTTTAAAGATTTATTTTATTTTTATTGGAAAGTCAGATATACACAGAGGAAGAGAGACAGAGAGGAAGATCTTCCATCTGATGATTGACTCCCCAAGTGACCATAATAACAGCTGGTGCTGCACCGATTCGAAGTCAGGAGCCAGGAACCTCCTCCAGGTCTCCCACGCGGGTGCAGGGTCCCAAGGTTTTGGCCCGTTCTTGACTGCTCCCCGCCCCCTCCCCCAAGGCCACAAGCAGGGAGCTGGATGGGAAGTGGAGCACCCAGGATTAGAATCGGTGCCCATATGGGATCGTGCATTCAAGGTGAGGATTTTAGCTGCTAGGCTATCATGCCCTTCTAAGTGGATCTTAAAAAATGATCATGGAACTGCTGCCAGGTCCTAGTAGGCTTCTGTCTGTGGCACCAGCATCCCATGTGGGTGCTACTTTGAATGCAGCTGCTCCACTTCCCATTCAGCTCCCGTCTAATGTGCCTGGGAAAGCTGCGGAGGATGCAAGCCCAAGGCCTTGGGTCCCTGCACCTACATCAGAAGCTTGGGAGAAGCTCCTGGCTCCTGGCTTTGGACTGGCTCAGCTCCAGCTATTGTGGCCACTTGGGGAGTGAACCAGCAAATGGAAAATGTCTCTCTTCCTTTCTTTCTGTAATTTGACCCTTTCAATATAATTTTTTGAAAAGTCTTTAAAAAAAAAAAAAAAAGATGAAATAGCAGTGGTATCAGGACCACATCTTGGGATGGTTGGGACTGGAGCCAGAGCTGAGCTCCCGTTCTTGTTCCTGGTCTCACACCCAGCCTGCAGCCCCTTTTGTGTCCCGTATGAGCTGCTCTCTCCACTGTGGTGGCTTGGGGACTTGGAGCTTGCCCTGACCACTGGTCGGGACAGTAGGCTGAGCGTGTGTGCCGGAGACTAGGGGAGCCCCCTGCCACCTCCCTGCCAGGCCTCGACGTCATGGACTTCGCGTCGGATGCCTGGCAGCCGGATGGAGATGATGTGGCCCGCATCAGCTGGCACTTCCACGACCTCATCCGCAGGTACCAGGAGGCCTTCAACGTCATTGAGAAGGTGACTATGGGGATGGGGGTGGCCGTCCCACCAGCTTCCCTTCCCCCAGCACTGACCCCACTCCCTCCCCCAGTGATGACCCCCATCTCTTCCTCTCATTCCTTTCCAGTGCCCCAAACCTGTCATTGCCGCCATCCATGGGGGCTGCATTGGTGGAGGTGAGTGCTTTCCGCTGGTCAGGGTGCTGCCCTTCCACGTTGCCCACACCAGGCCTTGCCCCAAGACACAGTCTCACATCCAGGGGCCAGTGAGTGGTCCTCGCGGTCATTCAGTGTCCCTGCCCGTACCCCACCCCAGGTGTGGACCTTGTCACAGCCTGTGACATCCGCTATTGCGCCCAGGATGCCTTCTTCCAGGTGAAGGTGAGGTGTCCACCCAGCTCCTTCATTCTGTGGCCGGAGGGAGCATACTGCTGGTGGGGGATGTGTGGGGACTGCCTTGCCTGAAGCCAGACCCTGCCAGTACCCGTTGCTCCCACAGGAGGTGAATGTGGGCTTGGCTGCTGATGTGGGGACGCTGCAGCGGCTGCCCAAGGTCATCGGGAACCAGAGGTGGGCAGAGCGAGGACCCGGAGAGGGAGCCTCCAGGGATCCACAGACCGCCCCCCCAGACAGGCCCCTTCTCATGCGCCCACGTGTCTCTTGCAGTCTGGTCAACGAGCTGGCCTTCACCGCCCGCAAGATGATGGCTGACGAAGCCCTGAGCAGCGGGCTGGTCAGGTGGGGCCCAGCTGGGTCTGGGAGGGGCTCTCGGAGCTGAACTTCCCGAGGCGTGTCCCTTCTCCCTAGTGGTCATTTCTTTCCTGGGGTGAAGGTGGGGATGCGAGGCGGTTTGCACCCAACTCTGAAGGTATCAAGTCTTCTGCCTCCTGCTGTGGGCAGGAGGGTCGGAGAGCAGTCTGTCTTAGTCCTCTGCCCCGTTCCTTCCCGGGCAGCCGGGTGTTCCCGGACAAGGAGACCATGCTGGACGCAGCCTTTGCCCTGGCGGCTGAGATTTCCAGCAAGAGCCCTGTGGCGGTGCAGGGCACCAAGATCAACCTGGTCTACTCCCGGGACCACTCGGTGGCCGAAGCCCTCAACTACATGGTAAGGGTTTCCCTCCCTCCAGCCGATCAGTCACGCCCCCTGTCCCGGGCCCAGGGCAGCCAATCTGGGATCAGCGGCATACTCGCCCGGTCTGCTGATGGATGCACTGCTAATCCCCTACGCATCTCCCTCCCACGTGTCCAGGCGTCCTGGAACATGAGCATGCTGCAGACCCAAGACATCCCCAAGTCTGTGCAGGCCATGATGGAGAAGAAGGATCTTAAGAGCGTTACCTTCTCCAAGCTCTGAGAGCCCTGGCGCGGGAGAGCAGGTGAGGAGGCATGCCGGGACTCCGGGCTGCCTCCCCCGACTCTCCCACTGTGTGACTTGAGGGGACTCGGGCCCTAGCCTTATCTTCACTGCGCCTGCAATAAAGGGAGCATTGAACAGAACCGGTGCCGGAGTGCGGAGTGGGAAGGGCAGGGCGGGGCGCAGCGCTGGTCCCGGCTGCCAGGAGGGTTGGCCAATGGGAATGGGCGGCGTGCATGGCATGCCCAATCTGGGTGCTAAGGGCTCTGGGGCGGGGCTCCCGAGATCCCTCCTGGCTGGCAGGTGGAGCTGCAGGAGCCAGTTCCTTCATTTCATTTCTTTTTTTTTTTTTTAGTTCCTTCATTTCTCTGTGTAAGGTCCCAGCCTCCTGGGTTTGTGAGACCACACATCCATGAGTGCCTTCTGGGAGGGCACTCCAGAGCTTATTTGTGCGCAAATTATTTTTTACACCCTGCCAAATCCTCTGAGTTATCTCTTCATTTTTAAACTTTTTAAATTTACTTCTATTTAAAGCCAGAGCAGCAGAGAAAAAGAAAGGCAGATCCTCCCTCTGTTCCTCTGCTACTTCATTTCTCAAATGCGTGCAACAGCCGTGGCCGGGTTAAACCAAACCAGGAGCCCAGGCTCCCCGCTGGCTGGCAGGGACCCATCTGAGCCATGACCTCCTGCTTCCCAGGGTATGTGTTAGCAGGAAGCTAGATTGCAAGTGGAATGAAGACCTGAACACAGGCACTCGGATATGGGGCTGGCACCATGGCATAGCAGGTGAAGCTTCCATCTGTGGCTGCAGTGTATGAAATTGACATCAGTTCAAGACCCAGCTGCTCCACTTCCAATCCAGCTCCCTGCTGATATGCCTGGGGGAACAGCAGGAGATGCCCAAGACCCTGGCGTCCCTGACACCCACATGGGAGACCTGAAAGAAGCTCTTGGCTCCTAGTTTCTGCCTGACGCAGCCCCGGGTGTCCAGCTGTTACAGCCATGTGAGGAATGAGCCAGCAGATGGGAAATATTTCCTCTCTCTTTCGTGTGTGTGTGTGTGTGTGTGTGTGTGTCTTCCTCAGTGTGACTCTCAATAAATTAAAAAAAATTTTTTTAAATAAAAAGTGCTTACTCATTTTCATATATTTGAAAGGCAAAGCAACAAGATGATGGGGGGAAGACAGAAAGGGGGTCTTCCATCTGTGGGTTTACTCCCCCAAACTGCAACAGCTAGAGCAGGGGCAGGTGGAACCTGGGGGCCCAGAACTCCATCCAAGTCTTCCAAGCATTTGAGTCATCTGCTGCCTCCTGGAGTGCACTCACAGGGGGCTCAATCAGAAGCAGAGTAGCCGGAACTCAATCCCAGACTCTGAAATGGAATTCAGGTGTCCCCAAGCAGCAGTGGCTTCACCCACTGCATTATAGTGCCCAGCTTTCCAAACAGACTCTTGGCAGCTGCACCAAGTGCCAACCACCGAGTATCAACTCAGTGAGCCTTTCAAGGGTCCCCTGATGCCAATATGATCACTGTCTCCATTTTACAGGTAGGCAAATGGGCAAATAGAGATTAAGGGCACTGACCCAAGGTCACCCAGCCATAAGATGGCAGAGGCAGGATTTGATCCCAGAACCCCTGGCTCTCAACTGGAGCACCTAAGCCATTCCCTGTACAGCATGCTGTCCGTGCAGCGGGCACGCAAGTCATCCACGTCCTTTCACAGTTCATGTTGGAGTCAGGAACCTCCCTCCTTTGACCTGCTTCCATTGCCCACCTGGCCAGGGGCCACTGCTGCAGCCCTGCCCTGCCCTGCCCACTCGTCCCACCCTCCCTCTGCCAACAGGGGTTTATGACTATGATAAGACCCTACAGGGCCGAAGTCCACTTGTTGATACTTCCTCTTTGCAGAGGGCCCAGGGAAGCACCTCGGGGGATGCTAATAAAGAGTAGGGAGTCCGGGGTGTGCCAGAATTGAACCTGGGATGCCCCTGAAGAGGGACTCTACTGACCCTCCCTTGACAGCCACTCCCTGTCCCTGCCCTATAAGAGCTGCTGGCCACCTGCTATCCACCACCACTTCACACTCCTGAAGCTCTTTCCCTAGCTCAGCCACCAGCCAGCCTCTCAAGATGGCCTACGTCCCTGCACCAGGTTACCAGCCCACCTACAACCCGGTGAGATGCCAGCTTGGCTCTTCCCTGACCCTCATGCACAGCTCATCCCCACGCTGACCCCCAGCCTTCTGGCCCAGCAGGGCCCTGAGGCCTGGACTGTTTGAATCTCCCATTCCAAACCCTCCTCTTGCCCCCACCCAAGGGACTCGGGGTGGGGGAGCTTTGTGGGGAGGGGTGCAGGCTCGCAGTCTCTGAGACCCCCTCCCCGGCCCCTTCTGCAGACGCTGCCCTACAAGAAGCCCATTCCAGGTGGGCTGAGCGTGGGGATGTCCGTCTACATCCAAGGAATGGCCAGCGAGCACATGAGGAGGTAAGGTCCTGGCCACTGCCTGGCTCGGCTCTGGGGGGCTCCCCACCCCTTCTTCCTGAGCTGAGGATTCAGGTCCGGGGCAGGGGGCTGGGAGGTGACAAGGACAGTGCATCGCGTGAGGAGTTCTGGCCCAGAGTTGGGACATTGGACTCGGATGGTTGGGTGTGGTGGCAGTGCCGGGCCCCGCAGAGCTCCGCCAGGGCGTGCCTAGGCGAGGTGCCAGGCTCCATTGTCCTTCAGTTTCCTCTGTAAACTTGGGATTGTGCTCTGGCCTAGGTGTCCAGAAACAGAATCAGGAAGCAGGCTGGGATGTAGCTTAATTGGTGTTAACGATGGCCTTGACCTCCTGGGGCTCTTCTCTGTTTATTCATCCAGTACCCACCTGTTTGTGGGCCCGGGCACCAAGAATAGGACAGACCCCTGCTCTGATGATGATGAGTGTTAGATGTAACAAATGTCTTCAAGAAAGATAAGGCATGAAGGGAAATGGGGATTAAACATAGCAGGATGGGGTGGCATCGCCCCTTTAAATTAGGCGGGCAAGAAAACAAAGGTATTGTTTTCATTATTGTCCTTTACTTGAAAGGCAGAGAAAGAAAGAGAGATCTTCCATCCACTGGTTCATTTCCCAAATGGCCACAAGGGCTGGGACTGTGCCAGGAGTCTCCCCCATAGGTACAGGGGCCCAAGCACCTGAACCATCTTCTGCTGTTTTCCCAGGTGCATTAGCAGGGAGCTGGCTGGAAAGCCCCTACCCCAATCCCAGGAAGGGAATATTTTAGCCAGGACCTGAAGATGGGGAGGGAGCCCTGGGGACAGCTAACGGGAAGGTGTTGCAGGCAGAAGCAACAGCCAGGGCCAAGTCCCTGTGCCTTTGCTGTTGGGATTACTTGCTGGAGGCTGGTGCAGTGGGTAGTGGTTCAGTGTCCACGGGACCCCCGGGCTGCACATGGGGAACCCCGAATGGACCAATGTCAGGTGCAGGGAGCAGGGGCCTGGCCCGAGGCTGCACTCATAGGAATAGTTGGCTCTTGAAGCTGGGGGCAGAGATGAGGCGGGAAGGTGGCCATTATCCACGAAGGGGTGGTAGGTGAAGGGCCAGTGCTGGCCCTGGGTCACCCTCAGAGCTGCTCCTGGGCCGGGGCGGGGGACGCGGTGATGGAGGGGCGGGGGTGGGACGGGGGAAGTTGTGGCTCCAGGAGGACTTCCTGGCGGAGGCCCCCTGTGGACCCAGCCTTGGTGTTCCATCAGGTTCTTTGTGAACTTCGTCATGGGGCAGGACCCAGGGGCGGACGTGGCCTTCCATTTCAACCCCCGCTTCGACGGCTGGGACAAGGTGGTCTTCAACTCGCAGCAGGGTGGCAAGTGGGGCAGTGAGGAGAGGAAGTTGAGCATGCCCTTCAGCAAGGGCAAGCCCTTCGAGCTGCTCTTCACTGTGACGGCTGAGCACTACAAGGTGGGCACTGGCAGGGCCCTCCCCCTCACACACGCCCTTCCTGCCTGTTTACCTGAGTCTAAGCTCTCTCTGTTCTTGTAAACCAGGTCCTTCAGCCGCCCCCCCCACCCCCGGCCTGCCGTACCCCCACTGCCACAGCTGTCCCCTCCCTCCAGCTCACTGCTCCCTTCCACAACTCCTGGCTCCGCCTCAGCATTTCAGAGTCAAGCCCAGATCTTTCCCATTTTTTTTTTAAAGATTTACTTTATATTTATTGATGATTCACTCCCCAAGTGGCCGCAAAGTCAGGAGCCCAGAACCTCCCCCAGGTCTCCCATGTGGGTGCAGGGTCTCAAGGCTTTGGGCCATCCTCCACTGTTTTCCCAGGCCAGTAGCTGGATGGGAAGCAGGGCAGCTGGGATTAGAACTGATGCCCATATGGGATCTCTGTGCATGTAAGACGAGGACTTTAGCTGCTAGACTACAGCACCAGGCCCCAAGATTTATTTATTTTTATTGGCAAGTCAAATTTACAGAAAGAGAGACAGAGAAAGGTTTCTATCACATCTGCTAATTCACTCACCAAGTGGCCACAACAGCCAGAGCTGAGCTGAGCTTAAGCCAGGAGACAGGAGCTTCTTCTGGGTCTCACACCTGGGTGCAGGGTCCCAAGGCATTGGACTACCTTCCACTGCTTTTCCAGACCTCAAGCAGGAAAATGAAGGGAAGTGAAGCAGCCAGGATACGAACTGGTGTCCATTTGGGATCCTTGTGTGTGCAAGGAGAGGACTTTAGGCACTAGGCTACTGTGCCAGGCCCATATCTTTTCCATTCTTAAAAGTGCATTGTCACAATCGCCAACTGGACGAACCATGAGCCTTCTTGGAATGGTGACTTGTCCCTTCCTGCCCAGTGGACAGTCTGTGCTTTCCTCTGGGGGCTGGGCGATTGGAATCCAGGATCAGAAATGTCCCCCTGCAGGGGATGGACTCACAACTTGTAGGTGTGTCTTCATTGACCCCAAGTGTGGCCAGGCCCCACTCCCCAAAAGGCTTGGTTGAAGGCAGGAGCCCGGAGCTCCTTCCAGGTCTCCCACGTGGGGTGCAGCGGCCCAGGCACTTGGGTCATCCTCTGCTGCCTTCCTGAGTGCATCAACAGGGAGCTGGATCAGAAATGAAGCAGCCAGGACTAACCCTCACTCATAGGGTGCCAGAAGCCCAGGCAGGGGTTCATCCTCCTACACCAAATCCCTCCATTGCCACGAGGGAAGTGCTGGGTCCCATGCAGCCACCTTCTGACCCAAGCAGTGGCTTAGCACTGTGCGTGGAAACTGTGGGGCCCTGCAGTGCTGCAAGGGCAGTAAGCAGGGCCAGGCGCCCGCCCACGCTTCTGTGTCCCTGGGACCCAGCCTTCCCTCCCACCCAGAGGTGAGCCAGCCCCCAGGCCACAGGCTCAGAGTAGGAGGCTACCTACCTGGCTCTGGCTCTCTCATTCTCCAGCCCTACTCTGCATGCCCCCACTTACACATGGATTTTTTTTTTTTACCTCAGCTTGACTTCTGACCATGGCCTTCAGGATCCCTGAGTCTGAGGTCAAAAACTTTCAATCCTAATCAAAAAGATAAGCAGGCCTGGCGGCTAAAGTCCTTGCCTTGAATGCACCAGGATCCCATATGGGCACTAGTTCTAATCCCAGCAGCCCTACTTCCCATCCAGCTCCCTGCTTGTGGCCTGGGAAAGCAGTCGAGGGACCCTGCACCCGTGTGGGAAACCCAGAAGAGGCTCTGTGCTCTCAGCTTCAGATCAGCTCAGCTTCGGCTGTTGTGGCCATTTGGGGAGTGAATCATTGGATGGAAGATCTTCCTCTCTCTGTCTCTCCTCCTCTCTGTATATCTGACTTTGCAATAAAAAGAAATCTTAAAAAAAAAAAAAAGATAAGGGCCACTGTTGTGGTCAAGTGGATACAGCTGCTTCCTGCAGTGTAGCCATGCCATGTGGGTGCTGGTTTAAGTCCTGGCTGCTCCACCTCCAATCCAGCTCCCTGTTCGTGGCCTGGGAAAGCAGCAGAGGTTGGCCCAAGTGCTTGGACCCCTGCACCCACCTGGGAGCCCGGGAAGAAGCTCCTGGCTTTAGACTGGCCCAGCTCCTGCCTTTGTGGCCATTTGGGGAGGGAACCAGCACCTGTTCTCTTTCCCCCAACCCCTTCTTGAAAGTAACTTTTACTTTCAAATAAATTATAAAGAAAAGTTCCCTGCTTATCGCTTTCTGCTTCCACTTTCTAAGGCCAAAGTGCCAAGTGTGACCTCGCCAACCCCTGTCTTCCAGGTGATAGTGAATGGAAACCCTTTCTACGAGTTCAAACACCGGCTGCCCCTGCATATGGTCACACACCTGCACGTGGACGGGGACCTGGTGCTGCAGGCCATCAACTTCCTGGGAGGCCACCCCACCCCACACCAGGTGTGTGGTGCCCCACTTCCCTCCTCTCCTTCCTGTCCCAAGCCCCTGCCCTGTGCTTGTCCTTTTTCTGGGCAATGTCAGGGACCCAGCAGTGACCAGAACAGCCCACGGGGAAGACAGGCATCACCAGACAGTGGCAGCCACAAGGATTTGGGACTATCTTGGGGAGAGACACAAGGCAGTAGGGTGGGGGCTGGGATGGGCACAAATAGGCAGGGGTGTGGGGAAAGCAGGATACAGAGAAGGAAGGGCTTCCTGGAGGAGGAGGAAGTGTGTCAACCAAGGCAGAAAGTGAAGGCAATGAAGGTGAAAGGCTTTGCCAACAGCAAACAAATTCAGGCAGTTACTTGACCTCGTTACTCACCTGGGAGATGCCGCTTTGTACCTGCCCGCATGTGCTTACTGGGAGAAAAGGCACACAATACTACAGGTTGGCCAGCATGGAGGACAGCTGGCACTGCCACCCACAACAGCCATCAAGGGCACAAGGGGTGCAGTGCCTGTGACAGCTGAGCCACCACGTGCCCTGACACCCAGAAATTCCACTTCTGGGTACACAGCTGACAGATAGCCATGAACACTCCCCAACAGACTCCAAACTGCCCACAGTGTCTCCCATGGGGAGTGTGCATCTAATGCCAAAGCCCAGTGTGGATCTCAAAGCTATTCTATACCAAAATAAGCTAATTTTTTAAAAAAAGATTTATTTATTTTTACTTGAAAGAGAGAGTTACATACAGAGAGAGAAGGAGAGACAGAGAGAAAAATCTCCCATCCACTGGTTCATTTCTCAAGTAGCCACAAGGGCTGGAGCTGAGCTGATCTGAAGCCAGGAGCCACGTGCTTCTTCTGGACCTCCCATGTGAGTGTAGGGGCCCAATGGCAGGAGCCATCCTCTGCTGTTTTTCCAGACCATAAGCAGGGAGCTGGATGGGAAATGGAGCAGCTGGGATTCAAATGGCCCCCATATTGGGATGCTGATCAACCTGTCTGGCTACCACACCGGCCCCCAACTATGGCCATTTTGAGGTCCCCTTTTACACTCGTTGAAGCCTCACACAACCTAATTCCTTCAACTCAGCTCTCCTAGAAGCCTCGGGCCATGGTCACCAGCCCACTTTGCAGGAGCTGAGGCTGTAATTACTTGCCCGCCAAGGTCATGGAGCTGGGCACTGGCAGAGCCTGCGCTCAGAGGCAGGCGGGGTCTGTGCCCCCATTCTTCTGCCTCCAGACACGCCTGGCACGTCCACACCAACACCACGGCAACACTTCAAGAAACGCACGGAAGGATGGAAATAAACGGAGGCTTTGTTTTAGCAGAGAAAAAAGAAATACTCAACTTCATGTCTAATTTTCTCATAAGTCACACTTTTCTATGAATATTTTAAGGCCCTACATAAAACTTGTATGGGGTAGTAGGGGAGGTTTTCACATACATGCAGGGTTTTTTTTGTTTTTTAAGTTGTTTGTTCTTTATTTTGATTTTATTTGAAAGGCAGAGGAATAGAGTTTTTTCTAGGTACTCTTTTTTTCAACAGCTGGAACTGAGCCAGGCCACAGCTGGGAACCTGGAACTCCATCCAGGTTTCCCATGGTGGGTGGCAGGGCCCTAAGTATCTGAGCCAGATTCTGCTGCCTCCCAGGGTGCACAGTGAGAGGAACGGGCAAGAAGTGGAGGAAAAATACCCAAAGTGGGCAGTCCACTGTGGGATCTGGCAACTCAAATGGCACTCTAACCAAATGGTGCCAAACACCTATTCCTGGGAAACTCTTTTAAAAGGGATCTCGGGGAAGCTGGCTGACAGCCAACATGGACGTGGAAAAGAGTTCATGAGGATGAGGAGAAGAGGGGTCGATGTGGTGCAGCAGTTGAGCCTTGGTTTACGATGCTGGCATCCCACATCAGTTCAAATCGCAGCTGCCCCCACTTCCTATCTTGCTTCTTGCTAAAGTATCTGGGAAAACAGCAAAAGATGGCCCAGATGCTTGGTCCACTGCATCCGTGTGGGAGCTCTGGATAGAGTCCCTGCCCTAGCCATGGAGGCCGTTTGAGGAGTAAACAGTTAGAAGTGAAAGGATGCAGTTGCAGGCTGGAGGAAGACCTTGTGAGGAGGTGAGAGAGAGAGGGGCAGAAACATCCTGGGGGAGACCAGAAGAGGCTGGTCTATGGTCCCACATACCAGGAAGTGCTGAGAAAGTTCCAGTTGTCAGGGAGCAAGACAGGTGAGAGGCAAGTGAGGGCCTGGGCAGGGCATAAACCAGTGCCCAAAGTTACCTGCCACCTGTTGTTGTCCTAAAGGCCTGAGGTGTGGCTCATCTAGCTGGGACCATCGCTAAACGTGGCGAGTTCCTTTCTGGCCATCATTCACCTGGTTGTGTGTGGTAGGGGGTTGGGGAAGGCCACTCATTGTCACTCACCTCCTTCTCTCTTTCTCTGTACCCACAGAGGCCCGCGATGAACCCACACCACGGTGTAAGTAGCTGCTTTGGCGGCGTGGTGGCCTGGGAGGTCCCAGGGTGGCTGGAGGTCCCTGCCCCTCAGCACTGCGGCCTCTCTCTGTCCTCTCCACACAGGGTCATGGACACAATGCACCGTCGATGCCGCACAGTCTGCCTGTGAGTGCCAGGCCTGCGCGGCCGGGGATGGGGGAGGAGGGTGGGGCTGGATGTGCTGTGGAATGTCTCAAAATCATGTGGCTTTTTCCTCTCTCCGCAGACCATGGAGGGACCCCCAACCTTCAATCCGGTATGGTGCACTGGCCTGGGTGGAATGGGGCTGGGTGGGTGGGAAAAGGAGGGGCGGGACTGGCCACTGTGCGGGCTGAGGGGGTGGAACTGGCGGTCAGGATTGGGGCCTGGGCAGGCCCAGGATGTTTCCCGGGAAGGTGGGGCCTCTCTGAAACTGACTCCTTTATCTGAGAGAGGAGGGGGGCTGCCCTGTTCTCTTCCTACAGCCAGTGCCATTCAAGGGGAGACTGCAAGGAGGGCTCACGGCCCGAAGAACCATCATAATCAAGGGCTTTGTGCCGCACCATGCCAAGAGGTACAGAGACCCAGAGGGAGATCGCAGCCTTCTGCCCTCAGACTGGGAGACCAAGCCCTCAGTACTCCCCTCCCTCAGACCTGGGGTCCTGGCCTCTAGCTTCTCTTTCCTGACCCAGGGTCCCGGTCCCCACCCTGTCCTCCCTCAGTCCCAGGGTCCCGGTCCCCACCCTGTCCTCCCTCGGTCCCAGGGTCCCGACCCCCACCCTGTCCTCCCTCGGTCCCAGGGTCCTGACCCCCACCCTGTCCTCCCTCGGTCCCAGGGTTTCGGCTCCCACCCTATCCTCCTTCAGTCCTGGGGTCCTGGGCCTAGTCCTCCTTGCTTGGCAACCCAATCACTAGACCCTCTCACTTCCCCACCCTGTCCTCCCCCAGGTTTACTATCAACTTCAAGGTGGGCTCCTCGGGGGACGTGGCTCTGCACATTAACCCCCGCATGGACGAGGGCACCGTGGTGCGGAACAGCTTGCTGAATGGCTCGTGGGGAACCGAGGAGAGGAAGATGGGCCACAACCCGTTTGGCCACGGGCAGTACTTTGATGTGAGTCGGGGCTCTCCTCTTCCACTGTCCCTCTGTCCACCTTCCCCCTGCCTCACAGAGCCTGCATCCTGCCCCAGCCTCACACCCACGCTTCCCTTGCAGCTGTCCATTCGCTGTGGCACTGATCGCTTCAAGGTTTATGCCAATGGCCAGCACCTCTTTGACTATGCCCACCGCTACCCAGCCTTCCACAAAGTGGACATGATTGAAATCCAGGGCGATGTGGCCTTGTCCTATGTCCAGATCTGACCTGTCCACAAACCACCATGCTTGGGAAGCCGGAAAGGTCCCCTGGGACTCCCTTCTGGGTCTGAAGCCAAGTTTGGCTAAGACATGACTCCTGTCCCCTCCTTCCCTATTCCTTCCCCCTCCACTCCATTGAGCTCCATCCATCAGCTATCAACAGGTATCCAAGTGTTCTTACTCCCTCACTGCCCCATCATAATAAACCTCGTTATGTCCCACTCATGGCTCGGGGCTTTGTAGCACCAATCCAGCTCCTGCTCACAGTGAGCAGGAGGTAGGAACCACGATTATCCGCCCTTTGTAACCAATGAGGAAACGGGCAAAGGAAAATAGGTCAACTGTCCAAAGTGACACGGCCTATGACTGGCAGAGGCAGATTCCTAATGCAGGTTACACACTCATTCACCCTATGATCTGTCATTCTATTCATCCACCTATCACTTTATCCATCCATCCATCTGTCCATCCATCTGTCCATCCATCCATCCATCCATCCTCCATCCATCCACCCATCCATCCTCCATCCATCCATCCATCCATCCACCCATCCATCCACCCATCCATCCACCCATCCATCCTCCATCCATCCACCCATCCATCCTCCATCCATCCATCCACCCATCCACCCATCCATCCTCCATCCATCCATCCACCCATCCACCCATCCATCCACCCATCCACCCATCCATCCATCCACCCATCCATCCACCCATCCATCCACCCATCCATCCATCCACCCATCCATCCTCCATCCATCCATCCATCCATCCTCCATCCATCCACCCATCCATCCATCCATCCATCCACGCATCCATCCTGTCCAGACTCACGGTCTCAGGCATGTCTGCCAAGTCCCAGGTGCCAGGGCAAGGACATCTCTGCGGAGCCCTGGGCAGGACAGACTCAGGAGCTCAGCTTCTGCCCTGAGGACTGTGGACAGTATTTAATCACTTTCTTGTTGACCAGTCTATCCGTTCACTTGACCATCTGTACCTCCAACTGTCACCCATCCATTCCTTCATCTTTCCTCCTTCCTTGCAGTGCCCTGCCTTCCATTGCATTCATCCATTCATCTGCGTTCCGTCCGCCCCTCCAGCCAGCCATCTCTTCATTCTCTCCCTGTCCGGTTTGCTGTCCATCTCCTCGTTCCCCTTTCCTCCATCCGTTTCCTACTCAACGGGGAAAGTGAGCATCTGTGAACGGCCTCATCAGTTGGGCTGTCACCAGTTCTCTGCCATCATCTCAACCTGGCAGAATTAATCACCCATTCGTTCATTTGTATTTTCTTTTATCCATCCGTTCACCCATTTTTTTAAAAAGAAATACTCATTGGGATTTTTATTTATTAATTTTATTGATTTATAAGGCAGAAACAAAGAGATCTTCCATCCACTGGTTCATTCCCCAGATGCTTCCAACAGCCAGGGCTCGGCCAGGTGGACACCCAGGCATCCCACATGAGGGGGGCAGGGATCCAAGCGCTTGAAACATCACCTGCTTTTTCCCAAGGGGCACATAAGCAGGAAGCTAGAGTCAGAAGCAGAGCTGCTCTCAACCCCTGGGGTTCTGAAACACCACGTGAGACCCGCAGGCAGCGGCCTTCTTGCTGTGCCGGGTGGCTGCTCCAGGCTCATGTTCCCTGCTGTGTCCACCAAGTCCCAGGTGCCGAGGCATGGACATCTCTGGGGAACCCTGGGTAGGACAGGCTCAGGAGCTCAGTTTCTGCCCTGAGGGCTAGGGACAGCAGGGAGGGGCCTGATTCCAGCAACCCAGGGGGAGTCTAGCCAGGTGTCTTCGGGAAGAGAGGTCAGGGCAGGAAAAAGCCTTGCCATGGGAGGGCATGGGGAGTGGCAGAGGGCACAGTCTAGGGATGGTAGTGGTAGTGGGGGCAGAGGAATAGGGATGATATCCAGGACGAGGCCCAGGGCTTTGGCCTAGGGACTAGGGTGTCATGGAGCCAGTCTAAAACAGGGACCCAGGGACTAGTTGCTAAAGTCCTCGCCTTGAACGCATCGGACTCATATGAGCACCAGTTTTTGTTTTTTTTTTTTTTTTTTAAGATTTACTTATTTGTATCACAAAGTCAGATATACAAAGAGGAGGAGAGACAGAGAGGAGGAGAGACAGAGAGGAAGATATTCAGTCCGATAATTCACTCCCCAAGTGGCTGCAACGGCCGGTGCTGTGTCGATCTGGAGCCAGGAGCCAGGAACCTCCTCCAGGTCTCCCACATGGGTGCAGGGTCCCAAAGCTTTGGGCCGTCCTCGACTGCTTTCCCAGGCCACAAGCAGGGAGCTGGATGGGAAGCGGAGCAGCCAGGATTAGAACCAGCACCCATATGGGATCCCACCATGTTCAAGGCGAGGACTTCAGCCACTAGGCCACCAGGGACCCAGAGGAGGAGCAAGGATGGGGGAAAGGAGTTTGTAGGATGGGACAGGGCAGCCAGGGATGTAGCTTTGGGCAGGGAGGAGAGCAATGCTGAGGGCTGGTCACCTCCCCCAAGGCACCTCTGGCCCACATCCATAACTTTCTGATGTAGCAAGCTCAGGGAGGAGGTGTGCAACAGTCACTCGGGAAACATTGCCATACAATGTTGCAAAACTGGTTACTGGAGGGACTGACACCAAGTTTCAGCTTTGGCATGTCTCCCTGGTGATTTTGGGGGACAAACGGGTTTCACCTGAGCTCCAGGGGACCACACACCCCCACTCTCAAGATGCGTGTGTTTCACCAACATGCAAAGTTGGCCACAGAGAAGGAATTCTAGACTGATGCTGTCCTCTGGTTAATGATATCCTTGGGGCAGTTCAGGGGTGATGCCTGTAACCTATTTGGAGTGGATCAAGAGATGTGACGGTAATGAAAGGCTAGACAGCTGGATCTGTTGGTGAACTTCAGACTAGCTGAGGAGGACTCAGAAGTTGACTGGGCAGTTTTAACTTTCCTCCCCATATGGGGAAAAAGTGTCATAATCAATTCTTGGGAAAATTTTTGCATGCAAACTGCCGTATTATCTCAGCAGTGGTATACACTCTGATGTTTAAGGAAATCTTTTATTAAAATTTGTTTATTTTTATTAGAAAGTCAGATCTACAGAGTAAAGGAGAGACAGGAAGATCTTCCATGTGCTGGTTCACTCCCCAAGGGGGCTGCAATGGCTGGAGCTGAGCTGATCCAAAGCCAGGAGCCAGGAGCCTCCTCCAGGTCTTCACATGGGTACAGGGTCGCAAGGCTTTGGGCCGTTTTCCACGGCTCTCCCAGGCCACAAGTAGGGAGCTGGATGGGAAGTGGAGCAGCAGGGATATGAATTGGCACCCCTATGGGATCCCAGCATATGCAAGGAGAGGACTTTAGCCAATAGGTTAACGTGCAGAGCCCTGAAGGAATTTTTTTTTAAATTATTTATTTAAGGAGCATGGCTGACCTTATAGGCCCAACCACCAGTGTCTGCTGCTGCATCGCTCCCCACCATGTGTATTCCAAGTGCTACAATAGGTAGGCTAGGGCATCGTTATGTAAAATATTTAAAAAATATATTTAGAAGAGGGGTCAGAGTGATGGCTTAATTGGCTAATCCTCCACCTATAAGTGCAGCATCGTATATAGGCACTGGTTCATGTCCCAGTTCTCATGCACCTCCTTGCCTGTGGCCTGGGAAAGCAGCCCAGAATGGTGCAAAGTTTTGGGACCCTGGACCCACTTGGAGATCTGGAAGAAGCTCTTGGATTTTGGCTTCAGACTGGCTCAGCTCCAGCCTTTGTAGCAATTTAAGGAGTGAACCAGTGTAAGGAAGATTTTTCTCTCTCCTTTCCTCTATAAATCTGCCTTTCCAAAACAAAACAACAAAACAAAAACAAAAGTCAATCCTTTCTAAATTTAAAACAATATTTATATATGACAAGATCCAGTGCAATTAAAATTCAATTCAACAATAAGTCCTGGAGACTTAGAAAATCTACCCTTTCTCAGATCCCCAAGCACAAAAAGGGCACAGATCCCAGAGCTCCAGTAGGTCACTGCACATGGGCGGCCATGCCGCAGGGCGCGGCTTCTGGGGGAAAGTCAGGGTCCCAACCCTGCCCGGTGGTTTCCCATCCCAGCGGGTGCAAGCACCGAGTGCTGGAGCCTGCCCAGGGCGCTCCGGGTCCCCGCCCTAACATCCCAGGAAGCCCTGAGATCCCCAGAGAATTGAAAGTTAACCCCCGGCCACGCGTGGGCGCTGAAGTGCCCACTTCACTGCCCCTGGGGAAGTCCGCTGAGGAGCCGTGGAGGAAATGAGCAACAACGGGGTTTCACCTCTGCATGGAGAACCCCCAAAAGGGACAGAGAGTCCCGGAGAAAGGCGTGCTGGGGCGGCCGCCACAGAGTCCGCCCCGGGGCTGCTCAAGCAGGGACCTGCCCCAAGCTGGGAATCTGGCCTTTTCGGGGGATCCCACTTTGGCCTGGCGGGCCTAGCAGGTGAGAGGGACAAAAAGGGGAGGCGTGGGGGGTCGGGGAGGCAGGACATTGACACCCTGCCCTTCCGTGGAAGCAGAGTGCCAAGGCATCAGAGGAAAGGAGGGGCACAGGGAGGGTGGAGCCATAGCTACCCACCAGGCCCACAAGCCAAGCCGGGTTCCCACCGGAGCCCCGGGATTAACGCGCGAGAAACAAATGAGGTGCAGGTGCCCACGCGCCCAAGTCCCGCAACGGACACACTGCAGGGGACTCACCTCCCGGCCCAGCCCAAAGCCTCGAGCATACGAAGGGACACAAACACACACATACACAATTGTCCCCGGTTTACATTTTATTAGCCGCCCGGGCAGGTCCAGCCACACCCGAGTCCGCTCAGAACACGCACACCGAGGTCAGCTCCACGTCCCCGGCCACCTCGAGCTGGCGCACGCTGGCCGGCGGCACGCGGTGGCGGAAGTGGTGGTACTGCGAGTCCCCGACCACGGCCTGCGGGACAGGGCAGGGCTGGGACCCGCGCAGCGACTCAAGGGGCCCCGGGAGGTGGGAATGCGGGGCGCCTCTGTACCCCACCCTCGACGCGGGGCTTCTCGTGGGCGCCATGGAGAGGGCAGCTAAGGGTGGCACCCGGAGCATCCCTCTCATCGCCCCCCACCAGCCTGGACACCACCTCCAGACCATCAGGTCCATCGGGACAATGGGTCCTAGCTCAGGTGGCCCTGCCCAGGGAGCCTTGCAGTCCACAGCTGCGTTCCCGCCCACCCCTCCCCACTCGACACCCACCCTGGGGACCCAGGCTCTCCTGTCCTTGGTCCCCGCCCTGCACTGCCCGTCGCCTGCGGGAGCTCTGTGGGACACCCGGTCCCCCCACACCAGCAGCAGCAGCAGCAGCAGAAGCAGCACCACACCTTGTAGCCATCCCCCGTGACGATGAGCAGCAGCTCGAAGGGCTGTCCACGCCGGAAGGGCAGCCCCGGGCCGCGCTCCTCCTTGCCCCAGGCGCCCTGTGCCAGGTTGTTGAAGACCACCTCGGATGTGTCTAGCCGCGGGTTCAAGTGCAGCGCTGCGTCGGCGCCCTGCTCCTCACTGCACAGCAGATTCACGTGGAACCTGCCAGTGGCCAGGGCGGGGCCAGGTCAGCCACCCCAACAAAGACTGTGACACCGCGGGCTGGCTTGGGGTCTCCCCACTTCCAGGGCACTCTCAGGTGCCAGGGCAGTGTTACCCTTGGCACACGCCAGGGCTGCTGGCTGGGCACCTCACCTGCAGGATCCCTGGGAGCTTGTCAAGGTGTCTCAACTCCTGGGGGCCTGAAGCCCCCACACCCTGGATGCCCAGGATGGCTTGATGAGGTCTGCAGAAGCCAGGCAGCCCCTGGATTCAGGGCTGCTCCCCTCAGCTCACAGACTCTGGGAACCAGGACACATGGAACCATGCTGCCCACATCCCAGAGTCTTAGGGAGAGGGGCCCTACTGGGCTGCCAAGGGGGAGGAGGCCTCTGGGCTGGTCTTGGAAGAGCAGGAAGGGCCTAGTCTGCTAAGACCCTGGGGGTAAGGACGATTCCAGGGTCCCTTCTTCACCGGGTAGGAACAGGGTTCAGTGGAGCCTGGTGAGCCCCAACTGGCCCTTGGGAGGCTCGGGTCTCACCTGCCAGCCTTGTCAGGGACGACACCCCGAATCCTGAGCACATTGCCTGCCTGGACGCCCTCGGGCAGGGAGGTCTTGTGGGGGACACTCTGCCAGGGGGGAGATGGGCCAGGTCACCAGCAAGACCAGGGTGGGGCCAGGGCCAGGTGGCCGGGGAAGAGAGGGACACGTAGGAAGGGTGAGAGACAGAAGGAAAGCGGAGGCTGGGGGAGACAAGGGAGGCCCCTTGGAGAGTGCCCCACAAGACCACAGCATGGAGCAGGGGACACCCAGGCTGGGCAGGGTCCAGCTGAGACCACAGCCCCCACGGGCTCCCAGTGTCCTCCCCTGCCAGGCTCTCCCCAGACCCCAGACCTCAGGGCTGTCCAGACCCTCCCAGCCCCCACCCCGCCCTGCACACTCACGGAGCTTCCTGACATGGTGGAGCCGGAAGGACAGTGGCAGTGGAGGCCGGGAGATGGCTGGGGGCCTTAAGTACGGCAGAGTGGGGCTGGTCCCTGTGACTCAGCCCGCCCTCCCCACCCTCCACCCACACCTGGCACAGACCCTGGCCCTGGGGCAAGGCGGGAACGGCTGCTGCGCTGCCACCTGTTGGGTCCTGCTGCTTCTTCCACAAGGGTCTGGGCCCCACATGCCTGGGGCTCACCACTCTGGAGATCCCTCGCGCCACTGCCCCACTGAGAAGCAACCTTCCAGCCAGGGCAGGAGCCTGCCCCACCACCCTTCCACCTACACAGGGTCCTCCAGCTCTGTGAGGCCCCGGCAGGTTGGCACCCACGGGATCAGCGTGGCCACTGCCCCAGGACCCTCTCCCAGCCCTGCCCTGGGCCTAGGACACGTGCCTGCAGCGCCTCTTGGTGTGTCTGCACTGTCCCCACCTCCATCACCAGCTCCCGTGGGGTCCAGCACCAGGGTCCCGGCTCACAGGGCCCTGCGGGTGGTGGACGCTCGGGTAATCGGGGGCTCAGTCAGATGGAAGCAGCCCTGACCGTGTCCACTAGCTGCCCGACTGGTCTGTGTGTTCACCGCGCCCCACAGCCAGGGCCACGCATCACCCCATTTTACAGATGCTGTGAAGTCTGGCTTCAGTGTGACATGCCCAGTTCTGCATCTGCTGTGTGAGTCCTGGTCCTGCCTCTGGTCCTCCTATCAAGAACCCTGCTGTCCTCCCTGCCGAGGGGTAGAGTGGGGTGAGGTGCAGCTCGTGTGTGTGTGTGTGTGTGTGTGTGTGTGTGTGTGTGTCCTGGCATCCACCTCTGCTCTAGGCAAGAATGGAGACAGAGTGGGGACCAGATTCCCAGCCCCCATTCTAAGGTCCCAGAGCCCCAAGACTGGAAAGAGAATTCCAGGAGGTGGGAGTGGAAGGAGCTGAAGGATGTTTCTGGAAGATGGGGAGGGTAGAGTGGGGGAACTGAGCAGACACTGTTTCTACCTGCCCCCTTGCAGGATCCAAACCCCTCAACCCAGCTCAGAGCCCCACTCCTGCCCCACCCAGCAGGTGGCAGTGCCTGGGGCAGCTCCAGGCCAGGAGTGGAAAGTTGGGGTGGAGACCAGATCCAGGTGGTCTGTGCCCTCCACCTTGTCAAGGCCTCCCAGGCACTGTGTTCCCTCAGCAGGTGCAGACCTGTGCTGTGGGGAGCAGAGCTGGTTGGAGGGCAGGTACCGGTCTCCTGCAAGCACCCCATACTGTGTAGAGTTGCTGGGTTCCCATCTTGATGTCAGTCACTTAGGAGGCTCCGTCCCATCTCCCTGCTTTGTTTTGCGCTGCTGCCTTTTCATTCCTATTCTGCTGGGTTTCTGTTCTGGTTGCACTGCCTAGGCCTCCATTAAGAGTCCCCTGCAGGCCCTGGCTTGTCTCTGGGGATCGTCTAAGTGATTCCCTCCATTGGTGGGAAAGCAGTTCTGTTCCGGGGCTTGGGGTTGTTGTACCTTGATAGCATTTTCGCTGCCTTGTGCCGCTTGGTGCCAGAGACTTGTGGGGTTCCTCCTTCCCTCACCTGCCCTCTGCAGCTCAGTGTGCTGTTGTGAGGCAGAGGTTTGACTCCAAGCCCCTACAGGGATAGAACATGACCCAGCTTCTTTCCCTAAACCATTGTGACTTTGTTCTTTGTCAAAGGGATCCGCCCAGCTGCAGCAGTGGTACATCTGCCCTATGGGCTGCCAATCCCCGCTCTCCAGCAATCACTAGCAGGGGTGGTTCGAATCCCGACTGTTCCACTTCCCATCCAGCCACTCCCTGGGAGGGCAGCTAAAATGGGCTAAGTGCCTGGGCACTTGCATTCCATGTTGGAATTCCAGGTTCCTGGCTTCAGCCTGTCCCAGTCCTAGCTGTTGCAGCTATTTGGGGAGTGAACCAATGCATGGAAAATCTTCCGCTACCCCACTCTAGCTCTGCCTATCCAGCAAAGAGAATTCTAAAAAATATCAATTTTATTTTTATTTGAAAGCAAGATATATAGAGAAAGGAGAAGAGACAGAGATTTTCCATTCACTGGTTCCCTCCCCAAATGGCAACAACAACCAGTGCTGAGCTGATCTGAAACCAAGAGCCGGCAGCTTTTTCTGAGTCTCCTACATGAGTGCAGAGTCCCAAGGAGTTGGGCCCTCCACCACTACTTGCCCCGGCCATAAGCAGCAAGCTGGACTGGAAGTTGAGCAGCTGGGATTCAAACCAAAATCCCATATGAAATGCTGGAGTCTTTGGTGAAGCTTAGTCCAGTATACCACAGCGCCAACTCTATTAAGTAAATACATTTTAGAAAGAAAAGAAAAAGTTGGAAACCTTGTTGAGTAGTGTGCAGTTGCTTAGGGGAATTCCAGGTATGAGGCAGAAGTGGTCATTTACACAGCCCAGGCCCACCGAGCCCACCTGGCCCTCATAAACCCCAGGCCCACCGAGCCCACCTGGCCCTCATAAACTCCTTAGGGAACCCAGCCCACTGGCCCATCAAAGGAATGTCACAGGCACAAGCTGTTAGACATCTCCCAACTCCAATTTCAATCTCTAAGGCTGCTTTTCTCCTCACCCCTAACTCTCCAGGAAGCCTGGGGACTCAGCAATGGCTGCCTGGCTCCTTGCTGCTAACTCTGCAGTAAGTCCCTACTCCCCGCCATACTCCGCAGGTAAGTGACCAGTTTCTGCGTGTGTGCCCATGGACCCAGACTTGGTGCTTCTACAGTGAGCCTGCGGTGTTTCTCAACCACCTTCCCATCCTATAAACAGCACAATGTTGATGGAGCAGTTGAGCGGGTTCTGACCCACTCCCAGGGACTGTGAGCCTGCATAATACATCCCTGCTGCTGGCTGCTGGCTACTGGGCGGTGCGGGAGCCAGAGACAAGGATTGACTTGAAGAAGCTGACATCTTAGGGGAAAATGTCCTCACTTTGCACAACAAACCAACAAGGAGGGTGTTTTGGTTTGTGTTGTTTTGTTTTAAAGGGCTAGGGCAGGGGCCCGCTGAAATGGCCTAATGCCTTAGGTCCTTGCCTTATATCCCATGTAGGCGCCAGTTCATGTCAAGTCCTAACTTCCCATCCAGCTCCCTGCCTGTGGCCCGAGCACGCAGTCAAGGACGGCCCAAAGCCAAGGGACCCTGCACACACGTGGGAGGCCCAGAGGAAGCACCTGGCTTCAGATCAGCTCAGCTCTGGCCACTGTGGCCACTTGGGGAGTGAAACAGTGGACAGATTTTTTTTGTCTATAGTCCTCTTTGTATATCGGACTTTCCAATAAAAGTAAACAAATCCTTTTTTAAAAAGGGGGGGTGGTGGGCATTGGTGGTGGTGGTGGCATGGGTAACTACAGGTAGAGCATGGAAAAAACGATGAGCTCAGTCCGTGGCTATGAAGCTGATTTTCAGGTATGTCAGGGAAATCAAGGGAGGCAGCCTGGAAGAGATTTTTTGATAATGGAGCTCAGCTGTCTGCAATGGATCCTGCAGCCGCCTTCTTAGCTGTGTGTGAGCCGGCTGTTCCCAAAGCCAGCAGCCAGGAGCTTCTTCCAGGTCTCCTACACAGGTACGGGGGTCCCAAGGCTTGGGGCCGTCCTTGACTGCTTTCCCAGGCCGCAGGCAGAGAGCCAAACTGGAAGTGGATGAACCAGTGCTCATATGGGATGCCAGCATTTGCACGTGGAGGATGTCAATTGAGCCATGTGCCGGCCCCTCTTATTACCCTATGAGGTTCCCTATGTCATAAAAAGTGTTGAGTTCCCATCACTGTCTCATCTGTCTCTTAAATTTCCGGTCAGGCTCGGACCCTGAGATGAAAGAGGCCAAATTTTCTTCCTCTAAAGAAAGCTTGTGGGTTTTTTTTTTTTTTTTAATCATGAGTGATGACTTGATATAACAAGTCCTAGTCAGTTCTTGGTGTGAGCACCTATTTTTATTTCTTTTGAGAGTATATTGCTGGGAGTGGAATGACAGTCCCAAACATGTCTTTCCAAAAGTTGTTCATTAAAAACACAGAATCCGGGCCCGGCACGGTGGCGCAGTGGTTAAGGTCCTCGCCTAGCACGCCCGGGATCCCATATGGGCGCCAGTTCTAATCCCGGCAGCTTCGCTTCCCTTCCAGCTCCCTGCCTGTGGCCCAGGAAGGCAGTCGAGGACGGCCCAAAGCTTTGGGACCCTGCACCCGCGTGGGAGACCCAGAAGAGTCTCCTGGCTTCGTATTGGCTGTTGCGGTCACTTGGGGAGTGAACCATCGGATGGAAGATCTTCCTCTCTGTCTCTCCTCTCTGTCTCTCCTCTCTGTATATCCGCCTTTTCAATAAAAAAAATAATAAAAATAAATTAAAAGAAAAAAAGAAAAAAAAAAAAAAACCAGAATCCTTTTATCCACCGGTACACTCCCTTGAATGCCTGCAACTACCAGGGTTAGGCTGGGGATGAAACGGATTCCTTGGAACCCAAGCCAGCTCTCCGAGTGAGTGGCAGGAACCCAAACATGCACCCGAGGCGTCAGCATCACCTCCCCGGGGGCAGCATCAGCTGCACGCTGGAATCAAAAGCAAGGTCAGAAATTGACCCCAGGTCCTGCTGTGTGGCAGGTGGACCTCTTAACCGTTAGGTCAGACACCAACTCCTGCAAGAAGATCCTTTAGAACAAAGGTCTCCATCTTCTCCGGGAAGCCACGGGATGCTGCATTCAGTTGCTTGTAACCTACCCTTCCCCCATTCCCATCTGGACGGCGCTGACTTATTTTTAATCTCCAGGCTGGTCCTGGGTTCTGGGCAATGCTGTCGATTGTTCTGGCTGGCATCCTTTCCGGGTGGTGATTTACTGGGGGTTGTGGTTTTTCTGGGAGCACAAAGTTGGTGGAGGGAGTGTGGGTGGGACAGGGCAGCAGGAAGGCAGCTCCTGCTCGGCTGCCCCCTCCCCCCACTCCCTCGTTTTCATTCCTTACTCTTTATGACAGGTGAAGTAGGAAGGTCCAGCTTCTGTAACCTTTTTAGGGTGTGTCAGAGCATTGTCCCTGCCCAGCTAGGAAATCCAAGTCCCTTGCTAACGGATCTAGAGGTTATCCAGCAGTTGCTGGGAATGGCTGGAGTCCTGGCATGACTGCTGACTTGATAGAAACAGGTGAATTTTGGAAGAGACAACATGGACAAATGGGATAAGTATACACGGGCTCGGAAGGACCAAGAGCCAGGATCATGGCACAGTCGTTGGGTGAAAGCCGCTCCTAGCATCCTATCTCCTGCCTCTCCCCTGAAGCAGGTGGGCAGGGTTCCTGGTTACACACAATATAAATCATTTCGTTAGCAAACACAAGGGTTTGGTTTGCTTAGAGTGGCTGCAAATTATCAGCCTCACGTGGCAGCCGCTAAAGGAAAGCCATGTTTATTTACTCAGATCAAGTAAAGGAAACAGTGGGAGTAGCCAGCCTGTCTGCTTGTCACTTCATTCTTTACACGCTGTATAGTCAAAGATTTATTTTTCAAGTGGATATTTAGTTGCATCTAATTGAAAGACAAATCAACTGAGAAACAGACACATAAGTTTTCATCTGCTGGTTCACTCCCCAGTTACCAGCCGCAGCCAGGGCTCGCCCAAACCAAACCACGACCCCCGAGCTCCGGCTGGGTTTCCCACTGAGTGCACGAGGGCCATATGGGGCTGCTGTCCCAGGTGTAATAGCAGAATCAGAAGCAACAGCACCTGCGCAGAACAGCGGGCGCCGAAGGGGAGGAGCCAGAGACTGGGAGGGCGTGGCCACGCCTCCCCGACCCCATAAAGGCCTTCCGATCCGATTCTGCGCATTTGGGCCTGTGGTGCTCTGCGTTGCGGCATAAACACCTTGTCCACCCCGGTTTGGTTGAACGTGGGCGCTCTGTATTTTTTGTTGCAGGTGAGTCTTCTGTCACAGTGAGATATGGAGTAAGGGGTGGCAGTATCTGAATTTCCTCACTTCGGAGTCCCCAGAAGGGAGCCCCTTATTAGGGTCTTCACCTCTTTAGGAGGGCAGAGAGAGATTTTTTCCTCAATTTCTCCTGTGTCTTTCTAAAAAAACCAAAAAACAAAGCAAAAAAAAACCCAAAACCACCCAGATCCTGTGTCCGGAGTCCCAGCTTGGAGCCCGACGCCTTGGGGACCCACGCCTCAGCCAACCCCACTGGGCTGATCAAGTTGATGGGCAACTGCTGGTTGGCTGGCTTCCCCCAGGGCCTTGACTAACCCAGCTGATTCCACTGTTGGGTGGCTGGGAATGCTCACGAGGGCTTGAAAATCTCCTTAGATGGGGCTGTGGGTTGTTACAAATACTCCCGTCCCCCGACAGTGACAAATTTCTCAACATTGACCTGCAGGCCTTTAAGGTAAGCCTTGCAGCTGTCCACGTACGAGGCGGGAGTGGCTGGGGCACGTTTATGAATCCTCCTTCCTGCTTGGAGCCTAAGGGAGGGCACCCCCTTGGGCCAGGTCCTTGGCTCCCCCATGCCGGGGAATGCCTGCCCTGCCGTGGGAAGGGGTGGTGGGGTGTGTGCTGAGTCACCCCCGTGGGGTTAGCGAGCTGGGAGATGTTAGTTCTCTCTAGGCAGGAGGAACCTGTTATGAGGAAGAAATCAAATTCCCAGGAGTGGGAGAGAAAAACCAAGACACGGAGGTTTCTATCGGTTCTTCATCGTGGCGTTTCCTCTGGTCGCCGCTGTGTGTGAGCTCTCTGTGCCTGACAAGATGCTGTGCCCCAGGAGCAGGAGGGTGGGGCAGGAAGCCCTGAGACCCAGGCGCCCCGAGGTCTGGGCTCCCTCGTAACCCTTGATCTCCCAGAGCAAAATCTGACGCTTTGATCCTGGAGTCCTGAAAAAGGCTGTTCTTTTGGTTCTAGATTCTTCTCTGATAACAAGCCCACTTCCTGTCCTGGCTTCTAATTGCATCATTTTTTTTTTAATTATTATTATTATTGGAAAGGCAGATCAGATTTACAGAGAGATCTTTTATCTGCTGATTCACTCCCCAAATGGCAACAACAGCCCAAACTGAGCCAATGCAAAGTCAGGAGCCAGGAGCTTCTTCCGGGTCTCCCATGCGAGTGCAGGGTCCCAGGGACTTGGACCATCCTCTATTGCTTTCCCAGGCCACAAGCAGAAAGCTGGATGGGAAGTGGAGCAGCCAGGACACAAACTAATGCCCCTATAGTATATGTGCTGCTGAAGTATAGTATATGTGTTGCTGAACAAACTAATGCCCGTATGGGATCCTGGCACTTGCATGGTGAAGATCAGGCAATTGTGCCATCACACCAGGCCCTCATTCCACCATTCTTTTTAAGATTTTTATTACAAAGTCAGATATACAGAGGAAGAGCTTCCATTCGATGATTCACTCCCCAAGTGACCGCAACGGCCGGTGCTGTGTCAATCCAGAGCCAGGAGCCAGGAACTTCCTCCAGGTCTCCCACGCGGGGGTGCAGGGTCCCAAAGCTTTGGGCTGTCCTCGACTGCTTTCCCAGGCCACAAGCAGGGAGCTGGATGGGAAGCAGGGCTGCCGGGATTAGAACCAGCACCCATATGGGATCCTGGTGCATTCAAGGTGAGGGACTTTAGCTACTAGGCCACCACGCCGGGCTCATTCCACCATTCTTGAGGTACTGGACAGGAAGTGGTCTCATGACCAGTTCACTTCCTGGGTCTCTTAGCAACTCAGGAGCACCAGGCCCTGGGGGTGATGGATGGGGGCAGGGTGGGGCAGGACGCACCCCTCCCTGAGCAAGGATGCTCTGAATGAATGAATGAATGGCACCTGTCCATCACTCCACTTCTGGTTCCCAGCCACCCTGACCCTGCAACCCTGCTGAGCACGTCTCTCTCTCCCTTTCCACGTGCAGAAGAAACACAAGCTGACTGCTCATCTCGTGCCTGAGCAGAAGGCCTACTCAACAGGCGTCTCCTAAGAATTTCAGGGCTCACTTGCTGGGACCTCTGTTAAGGATAGGATTCCCAACCTCCTGCTTACGAACAGCTGAGCTTCATCTCAAAGAAACTGCCCCGATTGGCGTGTCAGGACAAACACCTGCCTGACCGCCCATCAGCTGGACCCATTCCTGTCCCTTGCCTCTCCTGCTCCCCTTTCTCCTGTTAAAAGTCCTCCTGCTAATTTGCACGTTGGGGAAAGCACTTCTGAGATTGAAGGAGCTGTAAGTCACCCACCACAGCTCTCTGCTGAGCTGGTCATCCAGCCTCAAGCAGCCTGGGCCCAGTGTTAACCACAGCAGACATGGCTTCGGTAAGTGCTGTGTGGCTTCAACTATTTTGTTAGCCGACGTTAGAAGTCCACTCAACCTAGGGTATCGTCACGTTTGCTTGCCTCACGCAGGGCTTGCCTGGAGGAAATGCCTTCATTTACTTATGACCAGTAAGAAGACTAAAAGAAACGGTGGGAAGGTGGAGTTGTCCTTTTTTCTTTCTTTTTTTTTTTAAAGATTTATTTTCATTGGAAAGTCAGAGGTACAGAAAGGAAGAGAGACAGAGGAAGCTCTTCCACCTGATGATTCACTCCCCACTTGGCTGCAACAGCTGGGGCTGGGAGGATCCGAAGCCAGGAACTGCTTCCGAGTCTCATGCCGGTGCAGGGTCCTGTTGTACCCAGATTTTGAGATTCCCCAGAAATCCTCAGGTGTCTGAAGTGGATGCAAACGCATAAGGACGGTTTATTCAGGCTGGCCTGGGCTCCCAGCCGTTCCCCCAGCCCAGCAGGAGTGGGGGCGGGCCGCGAGGTTGGACAGCACAGGGTTTTTATGCACTGCATGCTAGTTCCACACAATTACACAGTCGTGATTGGTCAATTTAACTGTTAACTTTTGAAAAGAGAAAGTTGACAGGCTTCTCTTGGTGGATTCGAAGGGAGCAACTTTCAAATAGTGCAAACTGGTGTGCTGTGGGGTAGTGAGCAAGTCTTATCTAAAAAGCGCACCAGGGGCTCCTGCCTGAGGCGTGCTCTGCCTGCGTGACCTGTCAGCACCCCCCCCAACCCCCCAACCAAGCAAGTAAAGCAGAAAACACCACAGTTAGCAAGGAGCAAAGGGCAAATGGTTGGGATCCTGACTGAGGTTTCTCAGTCCCAAGACTTTGGGCCGTCCTCGACTGTTTCCCAGGCCACAAGCTGGGAGCTGGACGGGAAGTGGAGCTGCCAGGATTAGAACTGGCATCCCTATGGGATCCTGGAGTGGGCAAAGCAAGGACTTTAGCTGCTAGGCTATCGCGCCAAGTCCTAGAGTTCTGAGCACTTGGCCAGGACCCTCATGGCAAGAGCTAGGGGAGTGTGGTGTGTGTGTGGGGGGGTGGCAACAGGGGTGTCTGGCTAATACCATTTATCCATGTCACACCTGGTGGTTGAGAACTGACTTGGTCTGGTCTCTTGCAGCTCTTCTTGCCTCCGGCGGCCTGGCCAGGTCTGAGCGCAGCCTCGCAGCCTCGCTAGAACGTGATGGGGTGAGTCACCAAAGCCCTGCTCTCACAGCTGGGGTGCTGGGCGCCCAGGGAGTTTTCAGAAACGCCAGAGGGGATTGGGGAAGGATGGATGGGAGGCGCCTGCATGCTGCAGAGCCAGGAGGCCGAGCCACAGGAAGCCTACCCAGCCGCCGCCACCAGGGCTTCCCACACGCATCTCCATCGCAAACCTGTCATTCAGGTTCCTCTCCCTTGCAGCCCAGTCCCGTGGGACTGCAGCTTCCTGAGAGTCTGGGAAATGGGGTGTTTGTAAAGTGTTCCCATTCAGAACGGAGTGCCAGGGGCGGGATGCAGTGCGGCGAAGGCTTCACTCAGGGCACTTGCTGCCCACATGAGTCCCTGGGTTCAAGTCCCGCTTCCACCCTCTCCGTTCCAGCGACCGGATGTGAGGGAAAAGGAAAGGCCTTACTCTTCAGAAACACCCGCTGAGGTGTCGGGGCGGGAAAGCCATGCACCATGCTGTTGGTTGCCTTCCAGTGGCGCCCCCCCTCCGAGACAAAGAATGCTCGGTACTTCCTTGTGCAGGGGGTCCTTGCACTCAGTTTTTAAATTTGGTAGATGGGAAGTTGTTCAGAAAATTGGGCGGAGCTAATTCAAGCATGGGCTGTTGATTTGTCACCATCAGGACTTGTGTAGGTCCCAAGAGGAGCATCTGTTCCATGTCCACCAGGTCCCAGATGATACCCCCCGGGAACACAGAGCAGGGAAAGTGGCCTTCTCTGTTCTGGCTGCCTCTTGCGTTCCTCTCGGGTGAGGTCTGCTGGGGGTCTCTGCTTCTGCCCTGTTCTCTGGGAGAATCTTTGTTCGCCGCCATGTGTTGGGTTGCCTGGCACAGCCATGTCTGGGCACAGTGAGGAGGACTGAGACTCCCTCCAACTCCATACTGGGAGCCAGATGCATCGTGTTTGGGCACCTTGGGTGTGCCAGTGGCCAGAGCTGCAGGTGCACGGGGAGGGGCAAGAGGAGCGGGTGTGAGGACCGTCGTGGCCACAGTGAGGCGCTGTGACAGGGAGCCCGCACCGACCTCTATCTGCTGTCACTCCCTTCCTAAGACTTCCTACATTGAAACTAAGTGATGCGCACATGAAGTTGGTCCACTTTTTTTTTTTCTCTAAAGAGCTATTTGTTTTTATCAGACAGGTTTACAGAGAGAGACAAATATCCTCCATTTGCTGGTTCTCTGTCCAAGTGGTCACAACAGCTGGCGTTTCTTCCGGGTCTCCCATGTGGGTGCAGGGTCGCCATAAGCAGAGAGCTGGATTGGAAGTAGAGCAGCTGGAACATGAACTGGCACCCATAAGGGATGGGGTGTAGCATACAGGTGGAGGATTAGCCTGTTGAGCCAGTGCACCGGCCCCTTGGTTGAGGTTTGATTCCTCAGTGTAATGGGTTGGGTCGGGGGGGGCGTCTCATAACAGAGGCAAGGGGCTCTACAAGATGGATTGATGCTGTCAGGCCCTAGCAGTTCTCCAGGGTCTGTTTGCAGCCATGAGGGTGCGTTGTCTCAAAACCTGGTCCCTACTCTCGGTCTAATATATTTATTTAGATTTATTTTTACTGGAAATGCAGATCCGATTTACAGAGAGAAGGAGAGAAAAGATGTTTCGTCTTCTGGTTCACCCCACAAGTGGCCACAATGGCCAGAGCTGAACCAATCCAAAGCCAGGAGCCAGGAACTACTTCTGGGTCTCTCACACACGTACAGGGTCCCAGGGACTTGGATCCTCCTTGACTGCTTTCCCAGGCCACAGGCAGGGAGCTGGATGGAAAGTAAAGCAGCCAGGACATGATTTGGTGCCCATATGGGATCCCAGCACATACAAGGTTTAGCCACTAGGCTATCATGTGAGGCCCTGCTCTAGGTCTCTTTGCATCCTCCTCTCCCCCACCCCATTTCTCTTTTCCCCATCACATAGCACGGGCCCTTAGGAAGGGGCTGCGTGTAGCCTGAGGGTAGAGCCACCACCTGGGATGCGGCATCCCAGATGGGGACCTGTTTGTGTCACAATTACTCAGTATCTCATATGGGGACCTGTTTGTGTCATGGTCTTCCCGTATGGGGACCTGCGGGGTCTCCCCCACAGATTCCTCTAGTACCCCATTGTTGGGGTGAGCCTGCTGCCCGCCACCCAGCCTCCTGGCATGCGAGAGAGACAGACACGGCAGGGGTTCCATCCAAGCAGCTCCAGTTTATTTGGGAAACACACTCTTATATGGAGCAGCAAATAAGCTCAGGCCAGGAATTCAGGAGAGCAGAACTAGAAACAATTGTCATCAGCCGCCTTGACTGGGAAACCAGGCCACAAGCAAGCAGAGAACTGGATGGGAAGCCGGGCAGCTGGGATTAGAACCGGTGCCCATATGGGATCCTGCTGCGTTCAAGGCGAGGACTTTAGTCGCTAGGCCATCGCACCAGACCCAATAATGGATTTTTTTTTTATTGTTGTTAACATTGTATTATGTGATACAGTTTTATAGGCACTGGGGATTCCCCCCACCCCTCCCATACCCCTCCCCCCATAGTGGATTCCTCCACCTTGCTGCATAACCACAGTTCAAGTTCAGTTGAGATTCGTTCCTTGCAAACACATATCTAGCATAAAGTCCAGCGTCTTATTGTCCAGATAAGTTCAGTGGCCTCTTGGGGAGACCTTCTCTAGTCTGAAGATAGGGCTAACAGAGTAAAGATCCGGTCAGTTAAAAGCCCCAACAAAACCTCAGTATCAATATACAACATTATGGAATTAATTGACATAGTATTGGGTAAACAATATGTTAAAAATAATGCAAGTTCCATTCTTCGAAACATCTGGGTTGAGACAGTGTCAATGACAGGTTCAAAAAATAACCAACAACCAAACAAAAATTACAAGTTAAATCAAGGCAAACATGTGGTATCTCACCTTTTGGGATTTGCTCATTTCCCTTAGCATCATAGTTTCCAGTTGGGCCCATTTAGCCACAAAGAACTGCATTTTGTTTTTTTAAATAGCTGAGTAGTATTTCATGGAGTAGATGAACCAAAGCTTTCTTATCCAATCTTCTGCTGATGGGCATTTCGGTTGCTTCCATGTTTTTGCAATTACTGATTGTGCTGCTATGAACATAGGGATGCATGTTGGTTTGTCGTAAAACAGGTGTTTTGGATATATTCCTAGGAGTGCTATTGCTGGGTCATATGGTATGCAGATTTTGAGTTGTTTGAGTGTTCTCCAGACTGATTTCCATAAAGGCTGTACCAATTTGCAGCTCCACCAGCAGTGGAGTAGGGTTCCCTTTTCCCCGCATCCTTGCCAGCAAGCGTCGTTGGTGTTAATGGATTATTTTTAAAAGCCAGGCCAGTGTGATATCCTAAAAGGCTGCTCTCTGCCTGCAGTGCTGGCAACTCGTATTTGCACTGCTTAATGTCCTGGCTGCTCCACTTCTGATACGGCTCCTGCTTACGGCCTGAGAAGGCAGCAGAGGATGGCTCAGGCCACATGTGGGACACCTGGAAGAACTCCTGGCTTCCGACTTCAAAACAGCTCAGCTCGGGCTGTTGCGGCCATTTGGGGAGGGAACCAGTGTGTGGAAGACCTCTCTTTGTCTTTCCTTCTTTGTGTAAGTCTGCCTTTAAAATGAATATAGAAATATCCTTTTTTTTTTTGATTTTTAAAAAATTAAAACCCCAAATATAAGGGAGAACTTTTTAAAAGATTTATTTATTTTTATTGGAAAGGCAGATATACAGAGAGAAGGAGATAGAAAGATCTCCTGGCCACTGGTTCATTCCCTAAGTGGCTGCAATAGCCAGAACTGAGCCAATTCAGAGCCAGGAGCTTCTGTGTCTCCCACATGGGTGCAGGGTCCCAAAGCTTTGGGCTGTTCTCCACTGCTTTCCCAGGCCACAGGCAGAGAGCTGGATGGGCAGTGGAGCCCCTGAGACATGAACCAGTAACCATGTGGAATCCCAGCTCATGCAAGGTGAGAATTTAACCACGAGGCTATCACACCAGGCACAGGGAGAACATTTTATAAAACACTGAGATGTGCTGGTACTGTGGGAAACAAATTTAAGTCACTGCCTGCAACATGGGCATTCTACAGGGGTGCCGATTCAAGTCCCAGCTGCTCTGTTTTGAATCTAGATCCCTGCTAATATGTCTGAGAAAGCAACACAACGGCACCCAGATTAACTGATCCTGCTAGCCACATGGGAGATGAGGGTACAACTCCAGCATCCTAGCTTTAGCCGGCCCAGCCCAAGCTATTGTGGCTAAAAATATAATAATAATAATAATAATAATAATAATAATAATAATAATAATAAAGCCAGCCCCAGAGCTGACATTGTGCCAAACCCCATTCAGATATGTACAGTATCATTTGCAACCCATAGAAAATTACCAGCTTAAAAATTAACTTGCAGGGGCCTGACTCAGTAGCCTAGTGGCTAAGATCCTCAGCTTGCCCGCTCCAGGATCCTGTATGAACACTAGTTTGTGTCCTGGTGGCCCCACTTCCCATCCAGCTCCTGAGAAAACAGGGGCCTGAGAAAGCAGTCGAGGATGGCCAAGCCTTGAGACCCTGTTATCTGCATGGGAGACCCTGAAGAAACTCTTGGCTCCTGGCTTCAGATTGGCTCAGCCCTGGCCATTGTGGCCATTCGGGGGTGAACTAATAGATGGAAGATCTTTCTTTTTGTCTCTTCTCTCCATAAATCTGAACTGCCTTTCCAATATAAATAAATACATCTTTAAAATTAACGTCCAGCAGCACCCAGGTGGACTGTGGGGCTTGGGAAGTTGCCCTGGGGCCAGTGGAGCGGAGAGGGCCTGGCAACTCCTGCCCACAGGTGGATCCCTGGCGGGCAGAGGTGGGGGAGGAGTGTTAAGAGCCCCAGGCTGACATGCTGGTGTGACAAGTTAGTGGACTGGGCTTGGGGACTTGTTAACATGCTTGGGTCCCGGGTGGCGAAGGGGTAGGGTCCTAGGCTGGCACAT